TCTAGCGGCTCAAACACAGCCGATGAGATTAATCTCATTTTTTAAAAATCTGCAGTAGCGCATGAGTGTCACATCCATTCCCTTCCAGCATTACACATTTGCTGTTTGACCTGGTTGCCATATACATGGATGAGTAATTTCCCTCCTGTGTGTAAATAGTTTCCGGCTGGACTCTCGTTCCCGCTCCGTCACACAGGCAGGTGAGTGTCAGCTTTTCCCGGCTCCCAGTGCTGGGCATCCAGTTATTCCCAGGAGAAGAGCTGTTGAAATGAATGGAGTTACACCAAAGTTTAATTGTGCCTCTGGACCCGCAGTAATTTACCCGGGCAATTAAGCTGAGACAGATTCAGCCCAGCTGCTTTTGCGTGGAAATCAAAGGTGAAAGTAACCCTCGTGTACCACAAATCCTTTTGTTCTAAGGATTTCTAGGAGCGGTGGAAGAGCGAGGGATGTAATGTTTGCGTCAGAAGGGTGGGTCACCGGGAACAGAGTTTATAAACATTTTTACACACTGGAGATCTGCACCGAGATTCCTCCATCAAAGTGCAGGGTGGGACCCCACTCTCCCTTGGTACTCCGGGCTGGAGCCCCGCAGCGTCTTAGCAGCTCTTTTATCTTGAAATTGCCCTCAGCTCCTGCAAATGACTAAAACTCTTTTAAGCAGCCTCTTTGCATAAGGACTCTTGGCCTCAGGGAACCCCAGCTGGTATAAATCGACTTCAAAGGATTTACATCAGCAGCAGATACATCCTCCTGTCTTTATTCTCCCTCTAAAGCACCAGGAACCATACTCCAGAGGGGAATAGGAACAGCAGTAACGACAGGACTATTGCTGGAGCTGGCGTGAGGCTGGAAAGGCCAAGAATTGCGTGTGCCTCTGCGTGGCTCTCCCTGGCTCTCCCTAGCCTTCCTAGGAAAGGAAGAGAGTTGTTTCTTCCGTAAAGGTGGGAATTTCCACGCTGAAGCACCAGGGAGATTTCCCACGTGTGGCTGGATGCTGCCCTGGCCTCCACCCTGTATTGCATGCGGTGGCCCAGGAGCCAGCGTGCTCCCAGCGCGCTCGGGCTCCTAAATCTGGCCAATCCTATCATAAATTAGGCCAACTTTTCTTCCTCTACACAAAACCAAAGGCAAGCAAGCTTCACCTGCAGAGGGTTTGGTGAGGATGGGGCGAAGGACCAGCTGCCGAGTGGCTGAAGGAGCTGCCATGCGGGCGGTGGGGATGCCGCTGCCCTCCCGCGTGCCCACAGACGTCCCCGTGGTCGTGTCCTTGCAGAGCCTTGTGCTGGGGCCAGCGCTCAGCCCCAGGCTGCGGCGAAGAGGTAAAAGCACGTAGTGCAAGTGTCGGTGCAGAGAAAACGTGAGCAGCGAGGATGCGGCGTGGGCAGCCAAGAGAGGAACTGTGAGTGAACTTTCCCAACGGTAATCAAGGAAATTACCGCATGCACGCACGACTGGAAAGCTGGAAAGAAACTGTGATTCCCTCTACCAGAGAATAAGTGAAAAAGGGTCACTGCTGGTAATCAAAGAATGATTCAATTTCTGGGCGACTTAATTTGGTTCAGATGACTTCTGGAGTTACTTCAGAGCATACAAAACAGGAAAACTCCACGCGATGCGATGGCTTTTTCTCACACAACCATCCAGATGGTTTTAGACCTCTGTGACTTGCTGGGAAGGTCGGCTGAACTGCCATGTGTATTTGGTTATTCAAAATTTCAGTTGGGGCTTCATCTTACTTACGTTACCTGCACTCTTTGTGTCAGTTGAATGTGTTAATTGCGTGGTCCTGTGATTGGATTTTGGGGTAGAGAGAAGGGAGCCCCAAGCCCATTTGCTGATTTTGCTTCTTTTTAAGGGAAAACCCGCTCGAGTCAGGGTGGGCATCCCCTTCCGTGTACATCCTCGTGTGCGCATATGCCTATTCTTACATGTGCCTCAGTTCTCGTCCGTACAGCGAGGTTATCGGTGCTTATTTCTTTTGTAAAAGGCATCGAGATGATTATTAATTATGAAAATAACAGCACATGTCCACACGTTGCTGATAGGCATTATCGTAATTGCTGAGCTGAGGGCCATGCTGCGCTCATGCACGAGCTCTTTAAAGCAGCAGCGCTTCTTGTTTGCTTAATGGCAGAGCAGTTGGTATTTTCTCATTGCTAGCGTGCAATCTGTTTGTTTTACCCTTTGCTGTCAAATCGATTTAATGAAGGGATCGTTACAGAGGTTTGCACATGACATCAGCCATTGATCTGTGCAGAGAGGCAGCAGCAGTGCTTTCTCCCCGCAGGCGCCGCAGGCAAATGGCAAAGCAGTTCAGAGGAAGCAGTGTCGCTCCAGAGCATCCTGACATCAAGGGAAGCTCAGGAAAAATCCCAAACACCCGCCAGGAGCAGTGAAGACATTGTGATTACCGAGTGCACCCATCAGCATGCCTCGGTCCAGGCTGAACTGTGTTGTTTTTAAAAGGGTACCTTGTTACTCAGTAAATCCCCGCTTAGGTGCCAGCATCGTTCAGATGGTAAATTGCAATAAACTTTGCAAAGCGTGCGGGTATTCCCCTAGCCCTGTGGGTGTCTCGGCTGGGTTTGGCCCCGATAGGCCTTTTAGCAGTGCCGTAATACTGCTGTCTGCATTTATAAAAGGTTGCTGATTAAAAGTCTGGAAAAGTGAGCAAGATTAAGGCTGTTGGAGGAGATGAAGGGGACGGATTTCTGGTTAAAGATCAGCTATGAGAATCCCAAGGTCTTTTATCTGTCCTCATCTCTGCTGCAGATGGCTTGGGTGACCTTGTGGAGGCCATTTAATTGCTTTGTGCCTCTGTGAAAAGGCAACAGCTACCCTTTGTACTTTGTGAGGTAAAGGCATTTTTTTTCAGATGTTTGTCCACCACTTGGGATTATTTGTCTGAAAGGGGCGATTGTATAGAAAACCCGACTGATTCAACATTGCTTAAAAGTTATTGTGTGACCATCTGATTATGGTGTTTTCCTTGTGAAGATAAAGGCCTCGATCCAGAGAAATGTTTCAGCACATGCTTCACTGTAAGTCTGTGGGAGTGCTCACATGTTGGTGACTGGTGCTTGTGACCGGCGAAAATACGTCACCGTGAGGAGTGATAGTGTCAGAGCTCTCCTCTCCTCCCACGGGCTTTCTCGTACTCGGTTTTCATTCTTGCTACCGCTCGTTCTCCATCACTAAGGTTTCTCTTACGAGTTTCAAAAAGGCTTTTGTCCCTTTTGTTTGGCACAAAGTTTAGTGGAGACCCTGTGAGCCAAAGTCCCTGCCCTTGCCCCAGCGCTGTGGGATGCTCTCCTGGGCAGCCAGTGCCTTTCACGTCCCACTCCTGCCCGTATCCCGTGAGATGGCATCCTTCACATCCCGCTCCTGCCTGTATCCCGTGAGGCACTATTTAAACTGGTTGAGTAACCCGGAAAGTGAGGCCTCGCTGTGTGACATTCACACGGGCAGGGCGAGGCGGGTTGCTGCAAGAGAAGGCAGCAGAGATGGCGGTGGCAGAGTGTGAGCAGATAGCACCCCATCTTTGGTCTGCGCAGATAGCCACGTGGTGAAAGGGAGGTGGCATCAGCTTTCCACCTCTGATAATCATGAATTCAAAGGCGAGAAGAAGGTGGGCTCACAACTTCCTTTGCTCTTACGGGGTTCTTATGGCCGAAAGGCTGAGCGGGAGTCCCATCTGGACGGTGCTGAGCTGCGGCTGGAGCCATGCCTGGCCAGCGAGGCGTGATTTTCGTGGCGCTTAGCGCTGGTCCGGCAGCCTGGGCTAGCGGGGAGCTGTGGGCTCTGCGTGGGCTCTGTGCGGGCTCCGCGTCTCCGTGCCCAACAGCTCTTTGCAGCGGGGACCAGGGGTGCAATGCAGCCCAGGCTGTGCCCTGCGTGTCCCGCAGCACGCGAGGAAGCCTCGTGATGTCATGCCAAGCAAGGCTGATAACATTTAGCGAAGGCAGTTGGAGAAAGGAAATCATTTGAGACCAAAGACTGCACTTTTATTTTAGGAATCCTGGCTGCTGCTGTGCGGCGTATCACGGGCAGCAGTCACCAAGGGCGTCCTGCAGCAGCGCGAGTGCTGCACACGGGCGGTGATTCCTTCCCCTGAGCTCTATCGCGTACCCAGCACGATGTGCTTTGCTGTTGATTCGCTGCTAAAAGGACAGCTACAGCTTCCTAAGAAAGTGATTGCATTTCAGTTTAAAATAAAAATTAAAGTAATGATTGAATCTTGAAATTGGATTGTGAATATATTCTTGTAAGAAAGAATTTATTAATTGCAGATGGACATTACAGATTTCAGGTTATTATTAGTTTATACCTTTTACCTGAAAAATATTTCCAGCTTGTAAAGGTACATTTTGCTACATTGCTGCATTTTGCCCTTCACCATGAAGGGGAAAAAAAAAACTGTGATCGCACCAAAAATGTGAAAAATGATGCTTTTAAAAAATCCATACATGAATGCTTGCTTTGAAAATCCTCAGTCTCTGTAACGAAGAGGATTAAAAGAAGGCAGAAATGGAGAAGAGACTACTGCCTACTTTTGACTTATTTAAAAATGCACAGAGCTTCCTCCATTTTCATCTTCCTTATAAAAAGATGGCTGTGTTACTAGAGCTGGCAGCCCCTCAGAAGCCAGCATCATTTTTTTGTCATACAGTTCAGCTGAGCAAGGCTGATGTGGAGTGGGGACCCCCTTCAGCCAACGAAGCAACCAGGAGGATTCATAATTCATAAGTGCTTCCAGCCATCCAGCTGAATACATTTGGATTAGTTCTCGTTTCTTCGTGCAATCCCTGATTTCATTATTCTCTTCTGCGAGCAAATACACCCACGTTCAGCCCTCTGCAAAGATGCTATGCCAAGCTTGGCTTTGTCTGGGATTAGCAACTGCCGGGCTTTGGGGGATCTCTGGCTTCGACGAACGCTGATTTTTTATTTTTTTTTTAATTGACTGGGGAAGAGGGGTGTCCGTGTGCCCGAGGAGCTCTCCTGTCTGACTGGTGATTTCTCTGTGAGGATTTGTGGACGGTGGCGTGGAGTTTTCCAAAATGCCTGAAGCAAACTATTTGTTATCTGTATCTTGGGGTTACATTAAGGTGGGTTGAAATCCTGAAGGGTTCTAAATGCCTGATTTTTTTGTGCTGTATTGCTTGGATAAAACCTCTGTAAGGAAAACGTGCTTTTTAAATGGGTATTTATGTGTAGTGTGTGGCGAGAGGTAAACGTATGTGTGTACTGTGCATGCGGTGTACATGTATGTAAATTTTTCCCCCCTTTGGGAATTCACTGTTGCGGGATAAAATGATGCAGCAATGAAAATGTGTGATCAGAAAATTAGGAGGATCATAGCGTGTATTTCTGGGTGAACAAATGCTTGAATCTTACATTTTACTTTATGATCCAAGCAGATCTTCAGATTTATGACATATTTCTCCTCTGTTACGTTCTGAACAGATGCAATTGTCTTTGACTTGCATAATTCAAAATGGAGCAAACTTACCGAATTCAGAACAAAAGAAGGTTATAGGATGTGGCATTTAAAGCCAGTACAAGAATGCGTGTATTTGATCTTTCAGAGAGATTACCTGAAATGTTATCTTTGTTACGGTAAAAACTACTGTGCATCATTGGAGGAAATTAATTTTGTAGTTTAGTGTAATGAAAAGAAATATCTAGTCATGATGATGCTGAACAGTATCTACATGAAACCATATGTCGCCGACTCCATTCCAAATGTCTCCAGGATTTTGCTTTTGACATCTTGTTTGTGGACTTGCTCGTGATAAAGCTGTATTAATTTGGAAAAGCGTTCAGAAAAATGCAATCTTTGTGTATGTGCTCTTCCCCTCCCAGTTCAAGAGGTGGGAGCTGACACACCTCTCTGAGATGAGCCGCTCCGGCAACCAGGTGTCCGAGTACATTTCCAACACGTTCCTGGGTAAGGCGTCGCATCCCAAGCTTTCGGGTGACTCAAAGATAACCATTAATGGCAGCCTCATACCCACTAGTCAGTGCTTGTGCCCAGTTTTCCTTTGGGGCAGAGCATTACTTAACTGTTTTGATTTTTCAGTTTCAAAATGGATATGGGGAGGAAGATAATACAGTGTTTGAATAAGTCTATCCAGAGAAGAATTCCTTCCCCAAATCAAAAGATCTTTCTGTTCAGAGTGAATTAAGCTATTGGTAGCTGCATTATGCAGTATTTGACTTTTGTCTTGACCTTACGTAAAGGACAAAGTCACATGAGCCCAACTTCATACTCTCATCTTTGCAAGTACTGCCTCATACAGCTACACCTTCCCCTTTCAGAGACAGGGTTCAGCCCAGACGTTTTATATATTACTTTGTGTGTATTTGCTCAATTTGCATTGGAAGTAGGAATAAAGAGTAAAGAGATTATTTTGCATTTCATTAGTTTTGTTGGAGCTTGTAGGGCTACTGACATGAATTAATCCCCTGTGTTTACAAAATATATTTGTTATGAAAAATATAATTTTCTGTGTTTTCAAGCAGCTTTAGAATTTGTGACCATTTGCATATAAAACGAAGCTTAGCACAGGGCCCGCATGTACATATCTCTGAGTCCAACAGCTTCAAATGCTGAATGTATGTGGGATGCTGGAGTTCATGGGGGACTCGTGCCCTGCGGTTAAGATGGCCCAGAACACATTCACTGTATGACACACAATTATTTCCATTAAGGGGTTTTAAAGTGATTTCAATAGCCGGTTGCAACTGGAACTACTGCGTGCATTTAGGACACATCACATCATTAATAATCCATATAAGTTTGTAGCTGCTTTGTGGGAATCCATTGGCCCTGTCTTATCGCTCAGCTTAATGATGACATCCAGAACATGAATTAATACAGGGAATAGAAGCAAGCCTGCCTAGCTGCCAGCCAGCAGGCCGCTTCTTCAGCTGGAGAGCCTGGAGCGTACACAGCGCGCTGGGGAGCGTGACCACCATGGCATTTTCAGGGAGTTTGTTGTTCATCAGCTCTTGCCAGTAGGCGTATGTCCCTGGAGCTGGATGTGCTGCAGCAGAAATACCCAAAGTGGCTAGGTACTGTGGACCTAACATAAAACTAATAAACCACGCATACTCTCAAGTTAGTGGAGTCTGTATCTCAGCAGGGGCTAACGAGCTGAAGCCCCTGCTGGTGCTAACGGGGCTGTGTTATTGCCCATACTCAGGCTGGGTCAGGTAGCCACGTGTCCCTTTGCAGGTCTTGACAGTGGTCTTGTTCGTTCCTATTCGGCTGCTCCTCACGTGTGCTGTAATGGTCACGTCCTCGCCGTTTTGTGGCCGTGTGAGGGCCGCTTAACCACTTAGGGCTGTGTTAATGCCGAGTGGTGCGGGCTCTCCAGATTGGGCCAGATTGCAGCTTGATTGCTCGTATTAAAAAGAAATGAGTAAAGCTTTTAAAAGGATCTTAAAGCTTTTTTAGGAAGTCATGCTGTTACATTTTTATGAATTACTTTTCCTCCCCCTAAAATTTGGTTTAAAATTAAATAAACACAGAAAATAACAGCTGAGAAAGTTGAAAAAACAGAAGAAAAAAAACACGGATAGGACATTCATTTATCTCCAGACAGTGTTTGTTAGGTGGGGATAGCTTATAGGTACTAAAACCAGATCACGTGACTTCATTCTTCAGTCTTTTGACTTTATTAAAGGAGCTGAGAAAGGCACCGAGAAGTGATGTCCTCTGCAGAGGGGCCAGTCCCGCAGTCCCCACTTGGGCAGTGAGAGCAAGGATGGAGCTTTAGATCTGTAGGAAGGACAAAGATGGAAAACAGTGGTTTTATTGTTGGCCGCATGACATCAACGGGGAAGATGATGATGATGATGGCCTTTCAACACATGCCCTTTCCTCAGGGGCGGGTGGTGTTGCTGCTGCCACTACCGTGGGGACCTGATTGAACAAATTGGAGATTTCTGTTCAAGAATGTCCATTTTACGCTGCCTTAGTGTTAGTCATGGCTAAGGAGATTATACAGAGGAAGGTCCTTCTGTTGTTCAGCAAAAACAGGCAAGGGAAACACCCGTTGGTGTCAGCTTGACTGTTGCTGTGAATAATGGCTTCCTTCTTAATTGCAGTGTTGCAGACACACCAGTAGTTCGTATTTCAGAGATTTTTAATTAAGCCAAGGCAAAAGTAACTAATGCCTAGATGCCTGGTCCCTCAGAGGTCCTCAGAGATGCAAAGGTGCAAAGAGATTGTTAGTAGCCTTTTCTAAAAGTTCGTGAAAAAATGGTTAGTATGAAACTAATGAGCCACTGACCTCCATTTTAAGGCAGCAGATAAATCAGTTGTAAAGGCAGCAAGTCGCATATGTGGATAGATTTATTTATTAAACAGAACTCCACAGCCAAGTCTGTGCCCCACGAGGTGCCTACTTAATGTCCACTAATATTGTTACTATCTCTGAGCATGACAACAGAAATACGGCCGGTGCATTGTGTGGTATTCTGTACGTATTTGGAAAGGGCAAACCTTTGATAAATCAGTGATGCCAATTTCTTACTGGGTTGGTGTTTTAAGAGCAGGGGGTATGGAGATGGGTTTGGCCCTAATAAGTCTGAATAGAGTGAATCTGAAAATACATGCTTATGTACTTTATTGAGGAAAAATGTGTTGTTTGATTATATGTTTTATTTTCCTGAAAATAGTTAATAAAAATTAATTGCGATCTAGCCGTAAGCAGAACCTGGTGCCCTTCAGGCATGGAGAGCTACCTGCTGGACATGTGCTGTGTCCCCAAGCGATGCAACTTGAAAGCGGCTACGATGAAAGCAGCCTGGCACTTCATGTCCCAGCAAGAGCTCAGTGGGAAGGTTCTGTCTTGCAGAGGGCAGACAGAGGTTATGTGTCTGTCTTGCTTTGATTTTGGGTCAGTTTGGCTCCAAAATGAGAGAAGGCCCTCAGCAGAGACACATGGGTTTGAACTGGTGTGCAGAGCCACTCAATCAGCAAAGCTAAGGGTTGATTTTGGGGGGTGTGATGGGTGCTCGCACTGCAAACGATGCTGACTCATTTCACCTTTGTTTGTTACAGACAAGCAGAATGATGTGGAGATTCCTTCTCCCACCCAGAAAGACAGAGAGAAGAAGAAAAAACAGCAGCTCATGACACAGATCAGTGGAGTGAAAAAATTAATGCATAGTTCAAGCTTGAATAACACCAGTATTTCACGATTTGGTGTGAAAACGGAGAAGGAAGACCATCTGGCCAAGGTATGACAGATTCTTGCAGTTCTGGGAGAATCGGTATTACCTGGAAGCTGGGGATGGACTGCCTAGATGGACCGCCCTCCCCTTGTAAAACTGGAGTCGGTATCCCTGAGGCGATGTGGCCATTACAAATACTGTAATTAATGGTACCAGGCCCTAACAGCATATTCTATGTTCATAAATTGCTTTAAAATATCCCTAAAGTAATTAAAAAAAAAAGTGATGAAGGCTGAGGAGAGCAATTATAACAACGCTGCGTCCAGCAAACTGGCTAAGGGGCCTTTGTTCCTGTCAGGGCATTTCTTCTTGCTGCCTGGAGTCAGAGATCACAGGTAATTCCCCTGCCACACAGAGAAATGTCATCTCCTCGGACAAGTGCTTTGGCACCAGCCCTTCACAGTTACTCTGTGTTCGTCTGCTTTATTTAGTACATGTGTTGATGCACTTACATAATTACTATAATGATGATTGAATTTGTGTCTTTTTAAAGTTTTGGAAAATGCAAAAAACGTGGTGCGAGTGATAAATGCAGAATTGTCTTGAAAAATATCGTAACCATTCTCTTTTTGTCCTTTCAAAAGGAACTGGAAGATCTGAATAAGTGGGGTCTCAACATATTTAATGTTGCAAGGTATTCCCACAACAGGCCGCTCACCTGCATTATGTATGCTATATTTCAGGTTCGTGATTTTCTGAATAAATTTGCTGTTCTTTTACAACACTATTTTAGTTTCTAATTGCTTTCTGTTTTGTTGCCTTCTGTAGTATGACGTCCTTGTTTGACACATGCATGTATGCTTGTACCGTTTATTATACAGGAGCGAGATCTACTAAAAACATTCAAGATCTCATCAGACACTTTTGTAGCGTACATGATGACGCTAGAAGACCACTACCATTCGGACGTAGCTTACCACAACAGCCTCCATGCTGCTGATGTTGCCCAGTCCACGCATGTTCTGCTCTCTACCCCTGCGCTGGATGTGAGTTACTTAGTTTGAGCTAAAAGTGCTTTGTGTTGGGCAGGCGTCGTGCTTAAAGGTGGGGTGGCGGCTTAAGAGCACCACATTTTGCCGATGTGAACGTAGAAGAAAAACCGTAAGCTGAGTCAATCACCAGTAGCGCTCAGACTTGCAAAAAGCAGCGTGCTGCCTGCTCTTCTGAGGGCTCGGTTTACGGCCAGGGAAATCACCAGTAAGAAATTTCAGCAGCAGCTTTGCCTGTAATATCTGTTTCATCTTAAAGAGCACATGCTGCTTGTAGACCTTTCTTCTGAGTAAATGTCTTGTCCTCAGAAAACTAATTTAAAAAGCACAATTTGTTTCTCTAAATCAGCCTCCCCAGCTGTTGAGAGATAAAACATAAGGACTTTTCTGACAAATTCCTTTTTTCCTTCCTAGGCCGTCTTCACTGATTTGGAAATCCTTGCTGCAATTTTTGCAGCTGCGATTCATGATGTGGATCACCCCGGGGTCTCCAATCAATTTCTTATTAATACAAGTGAGTTTTGTTTCAAATACAGTAAAAATTTCATCTGCCGACTTGGAAACTAATGGAAATGCGTTTTCCGTTACGACGAGGTCACAAAGTATGACTGTCAGATTGCGTTGCTTTCTCAAAATACTGTGCAGTAAACTAGTTAGGCGTTTTGAAATAAAGCAGTAATTAAAATGAAATTCCTAACAAAGGAAGCTATTGCAGTACAATTTGCAAAGTGCCCTTGAATCTTGTGAATATTACTACTTGCTAACGCATAATAATTCTTCCAGTCCTGAGTGCAAATTTTATCATTAATAGAAGATAAATAATGCTATTGCTATTGACAACGACAAAGCTAAATATTGTGGTTCATGTTGTGTTCTGCAACAGGCTAAGCATGTATCTTGATTCCAAAAGATGGGTATTGTTCTTTTTTGGAAAGTGTGTCTGCAGGATTCATGCTTTCTGTTGTCAGTGATTCTGAAGCCCGTAACTAAGTCAACCGGGTACTATTTAGTTCATTAGAACCAAGCAAAGGGCTGTTTATATTACATACATATGTGCTCGGATTAGAAAACCGCACGCTCTTGGCATACATGAAGCAAAAAAAAGAAAACTTTTCAGGATTTATTGCATACAGATAAATATTTCAGTACCCAGGACAAGCGTTTGCTGTTTGAAATCACACATTTCACATGCTGGAGTCACATACTGGTGTTGCTTTGCTAGATTCCGAACTAGCCCTGATGTACAACGATGAATCCGTCTTGGAGAACCACCATCTTGCTGTGGGCTTCAAACTGCTTCAAGAGGAGCACTGTGACATCTTCCAGAACCTGACCAAGAAACAGCGTCAGACGCTCAGGAAGATGGTGATCGACATGGTATGAACTACGCCCACACTGCTCCTCTTCTTAAACAACAAACTGACTCCTTTGTGTGGCTGCCTGTACTGAGATCCTATTTTCCCTTCTGTAAAGGTATTGGCGACAGATATGTCTAAGCATATGAGTCTGTTAGCTGATCTGAAGACTATGGTGGAAACTAAGAAAGTGACCAGTTCAGGAGTCCTCCTTCTGGACAACTACACAGACAGAATACAGGTACGTCAGCCAAGTGTCCTGGATTTTGTGTATTTTGGTCAGGATTGAAGAAACTATGCTGCTGGTTTTGCTGTGGCTTTTAAATGGGCCATACCTAGAAGCTACTGACCTAAATTTTCAGCAATCATTTTCTTCTGTTCTGCACCACAAAGAGGTACAAGGTGGTCCGATATCTTTTAGGTAAAGGGGATTATGTTTTTAACGCTTAAGAGCATGGAACTGCAAACATGCACGTTCTCCTGAAGTTAATCTATAAGGTTGAGTTTTTGAGGGCTCCTGAATTTCCTTGCTGCTTTCTGCCATTTGTTTCTCCTGTTGAAAAAGTATAGCGAGATGGCTACAGCATTGCAAGAGTGCCAGAATTTAATTTCTAACTCCATACCTAAAGCAACTCTCACACTGAGCTGAAATTAGTGATGTACAATCTGGTCCCTATATGATCTAATCCTCAATTTACAGAAATGACAAAGCAGTGCTGGAGCAGGGTTATGTAGTTAGTAGGACAAGATGCATCCTGATCTTCTCTCCACTTTGATGGCCAGCCTCTTCAGAAGAGACTCATGGGAAAACTCGCCTTACATTTTTATTTAAGACTGACTACTGATCTTAAAAGAGGTCACTCTGTCGCTGTCTAAATCCCTGTGGCCACAGTTAGTCAGGCACATTTTTGTGTGTGTGTGGAAGGGATATTACTCATTTAATAAAGTAGGAGCATTTAACCATCTGAGAGCATGCAAATAAAGTTTGAATGGTGGGAAGCACCTGCGTTCAAAAACAAACCTTATGATGTAATTACCATTGCCATAACTGCAGCCTGTGTAAGTATTGAGTTGTCTGAAAAACATATAGCACGTTTTATTTTTGAAGCGGACCGTAGCAGCTAGTCTCATGTACGGAGATGTTATGATGTTAACATTTTTATAGGCTGTTGCATAATCAAAGAGTCTTGTGGTTAAATGTTCGGCATTAAGCAAGCCGATACAGCTTGAAACTGTCCTCTTTTTCCATTTGATTTTACGAGTTTTCTGATTAATGTAATTGCAGGTTCTCCGAAACATGGTACATTGTGCGGACTTGAGTAATCCCACAAAGTCTCTGGAGCTGTACCGGCAGTGGACGGACAGGATCATGGAGGAGTTCTTCCAGCAGGGAGACAAAGAGCGAGAAAGAGGAATGGAAATCAGTCCAATGTGTGACAAACACACAGCATCAGTGGAAAAATCACAGGTAATTGGCCGTGAGCTGCATTTTTGTACTGCCTAAGCTTGTATTTTTAAAGCGGAGACAAAATTCATCTGCCTTCTCTAGCACAATTAGGCAAACAGCCAGCTGTTCAGAGGGTTGGTTCTGATTGACCCTGACATCCAGCTGTGCCTGAAGCTCATGTAGACTGGCGGGGCTGTTCAGATTCCTTTATGTACCCCTTGGCGTCTCCTCATTTCCAAGTGCGTGTTCATCTTGCCCTCTTTGTGTCCCAGTTTCCAGAGTGAGTTGGTTTCCTTTTGTTCCCCGGGCTTAAAAAGTGCAATTCTGATCTCCCCTTCCTTCTGCCAGTTCTCTTCTGCCTTCGTGCCTTCCAGCCTCCCTAGTCAGCACCTCCTAAACCTACTGACATCGTACCCCGTGTTAGACATCTACAGCAACGCCAGCCCCGTTGTACTGCAGGGTTAGGAGCTTCTCCCAGCTGAGACCCACTTCAGGACACTGGAAGAGTCTGGATGTCTGTCGTTGTTCAGCCTCCTGCAGAACAATTTTGCAGTGCATGGTCTGGCCAGTTAAGTTAGAGATCTGATGGAGCTGCTGTGTGCCGGTGAAGTCGTATTTATTTATGAAGTCATATTTATTTATGTCAATACAAACCTTAAAAGGAGCTGGATATGTCTGGTTTTTTGAGATTAACTGGCTCATCCCTAGTTCTGATTCATAGATTAAACAGTTTCAAGGTCAGATTTTGTTCTGACCTGTGTAGCACAGGCCGTAAAATTTCACCCGGTTAGTCTGTAATGAAGCCAGTAATTTATGTTTGCCTAAACATATTCCGGTCTTTATATAATGGTGTCTTGGTTGCTGTTTTTAAATGACTCGAGCAAGTCATCATCGAGGTTTTTCAGCTTGAATAAGTAACGAAATTGATGATAATTATTTCCAAATGTCCTCTTGGGCTAAGCCAAGTGGTTTCAAAATTATTCACTCAACCGCATGGTGATTTTGTTGGAAAAATCTGTCTTATTTGTTAACCTAACAAGAAATGAATCCTTTGGCCAGGCTTGGCCAGAAAATGCCCATGTGCTTCGCACGTGAGCTCCAGTAAACTTTTTGTTTCACATATGCACTTCACAGAGGTTTCAAAATGGCATTTTTGCTATGCAAAAAGAACAGGAATTGCACGAAATGGCTACCATTGAAATCCCGACTAGTGGCAAAGGAGAAGGGGAGGTGGCATGCCCGTTCTGGAGTGAAACAAGGAATTGACTGGAAAATAGTATGCAAGTATTTCAAAGCTCTAGATGTTACCTCTTTACGTCAAAATATTTTAATACCAGCGCTCAGCCATCTGGCCAGCTATTCCATGATTTCGGCTGTTTGTTTAAAGAAACAATGACCTGGTCTCTAGCCATTGGTGCTGTATATAGCCCTTGAGCGTTTTGGGTGGCGGCAAAGCCTTCAGCTAACTGTATAGAATTTTTTTTCACTTTAAAAGTGCTCCGGAACATGTGCTGCAGGAAATTTTCATCACCTTTTTGTTTAAGCTGCCTCCACAGTATGTTACAATTGAATGTTAATGGTTCTATTGACATCCTGTTGTGTCTGAAGGAGGCATGTGTGATTTCCAAAGCAAACATCTGCACGTTGAGTCTGGCCCCTCTGAGAGCCATTTTCCTGCTGCACAGAAACGTTGTCCAGCGGAGCAAGGAGAGAAGTGACACATTCTGCCAAGACGGAAGAATTTCAATCCCCTTTATGGCCATTCAGTATTCTCCATCCTGGACGTACGTCCTCTTAGTCAGACAATTGAAAAATGATTTAGCTCAGAGCTTACGCGCCAACCGGCGGAAGGACCGACAGACTCAGCCACAGCCCTCACTGTTTCCACCCCTGGCACGTCACTCCATAGGAGTCGGGCAGCAGCGATCTGCCCGCCTTCGTGGAAGAGGAGTACTTCTTGGGATGAGCTGACCTGCTTTCTTTTTTAATGAAAGGAAAGGAAATCTTTACCATGGCCAGCTCCGCAGACAAAGATGGTGGCTGCTTTGGCAGAGTAGGGGAGGAGTGCTGAAAGTTCAAAGATGCAGGACCACGAAACAGTTCAGGATAGGTACAAACTACACACCATAGTAACATATGCCTGAAGCTCAAACTTCAGTCCATAAAAGCAGTGACATTCGGCATTAGGACGGCTGCTCGCTGTGGGCGCATTGGCATTTTCGCAGCTGCCAGCCCCAGGCATACCCCGGGGTAATGGCAGCGTTGCCATAAATGCACCAGCTTTGTCCTCAGTCACCAGGGAATCCCATCTGAGACACAGCAAACTTTCTTAATGCTTAGGGTAGAGGCAACGATTGTCTAAAATGCCTCTCTGCGCTAACAGCTGGCAAGAGGCAGCCCTTGTTGGGATGTTCTTCCTTCAAAGTGATGGCTAACCCTGATTTCCGCAGGGCAGGGATTGAGCAGCTAGTCAGGAACGGACGTCTGCATATGTGATATTTAAAATCATGCGTGCAGCCAGAGATCGGATTGGCAGCTCCGTCGCCGAGTTTCCCAGTGGCTCCGGCTTTTGGTTAAACTTTCATCCAAGGTTTGATTTTGGACAAGACGTCAACCTAGCCTGACGTTGTAGGTGTAGCGTTGGGTATCAGATGCTTACGTCTGCAATTAGACTGTGCTGGTTTGAGGACTTGCTCTGGGGCAAGTGTTTGGCTTGTAAAAATCGTGTATTAACAGCATTTGAACTTTGTAGGCCTCCATCTGCTCCTACCCGTTCCCTTCCCCTAAGCTTGCCTGTTCCTGTGTTTCAGGTGGGATTCATTGACTACATCGTCCATCCGCTCTGGGAGACGTGGGCCGACCTGGTGCAGCCCGATGCCCAGGACATCCTGGACACGCTGGAGGACAACAGGAACTGGTACCAGAGCATGATACCTCAGAGCCCATCTCCTCCGCTGGAGGAGCGGGGCAGGGACTGTCAGAGCCTGATGGAGAAGTTCCAGTTTGAACTGACGCTGGAGGAGGAGGATTCAGATGGGCCGGAGAAGGACGGCGAGAGCATCGGCTACTTCGGCAATACGAAGACGCTCTGTGTGGCCGACCCAGGGGAGGAGGATTCACAGAGGGAGGCGAACATAGAAATTGTGACAGAAGATACGTCTCCCGTCGACACATAATGTCTTGTACCTGTGTGAGTGGAGTTTAAACACTTAATGAGCATGCAAGCAGTCTCACGGACTAGCCTGCAGCCTGGGTCTGAGGCCTGTGTCTAACATTGGCTGAAAGATCTTCCCAGCTACTTGAGATTGGAGTCAGGGTTAAAGATCGTGTAGTGAATGATTGCTCAGGAAATGAACAGGTGATTTACGTTGTGGTTTAAGCCTTGTCAGCTAAGAGCATCGTGTTGTCCTGGAGCTGGCTTGGGTCGTGACTGAAGAGTAAATGACACACAACTGAGAGATTTTATACCATTAGTTTTGGAATTTGTACCAGTTAGACTGATAGAAACTACTGATTAATAACTCTCCATATAAAACCTGTCCACCTGACCACCTGTCTGCAGACCTGTGTGCCTTCTTTGTAAACACTTTCATGTCTTTTCAAGAGTCTGTTAATTAAATATGCGGAGTTTAGTATAAAAAGCGACACAAAGTGTTTCGAAATTGACAGATACTTTTTTTGATTCTTCCTGTTACAAGAAGCAGTCTTCCTTTTTTCATGGGCAATACCTGTCACTTTATTGCAGTTAATCACTTTTTGCAGACTAAATAGAAGGGAAACCCTCTGTTTGGCATCGCTGCACCTTTAGTCGTCTTCTGAATACCCCAGGCGACCCATTTAAAGTCACTTCATGCCGTCGTGCATCATCTCGGCTCGCTTGCTAGGAATACCAGTATTTTTTCCTCAACGGGGTTTTATTTTTGTCGTGCGCAGGATAGAGGGCAGTTTGTTTCCACGGCACAGCGCAGTACCTATATAAGTAAGCGCGATAAGGCAGCGTGTGACGCGCGTTCCCCCTCGGCAGCTCCTTGGCTCAGTGGAATTTGCACGCTCGGATATTTGTGTTTCTCTCGCCTATCGTTCACGTTTCCTAGGTTTAGGTCCACCGTCCTCCTCCTGCACTGCCTTGAGCTCTAACACCTCCATTACTGTTTATAACAGTGTATTTATTACGTAATGTATATACTGTAATGTTTTGTAAGTTATTAATTTATATGAATTAACATCGCCTGTCGGCGGCGATGTTAATTGTGTAGAAAACTCGGAATAAGAGTTGCCTTTTTTTCTTGTAACCTTTTGTATTGCATAAAATACAAGAACCTGAACATAGCTGAAGAGACAGACGCAACCCAGGAAGGGCATTTGGGTGGCAGCCGCCCGCAGGGGGGGTTCGTCTTCACGGCGAGCCGGGGGGACACACACAGAGCGGACCCTGGGGCAGCGGGCGAGGGGTTGGAAATGCTGAAAACCTAGAGGGGGGGGAACCAAAACCAGAACCCCCCGCAAACGGGCCGACTTTTAAATGTCACGTTCCAATTTCTGAACAGCCCAATGTGAATTTCTATGACAAAAATGTGAACTGATGTAATAATTGTGCTGTGAAACTTCTTCTGACAAAGCTTGTCCGGCATCGTGAGCGGTGTCAATCTCAGTTTGTAAAATATGTTTCAAGCTTTTGGTCCAACTTGTGACTAACTAGTTAATGAAAATAGCACAGTTGTGCATGATCAATGGGTTTGTATGTCTGTTGAACACTGCATTGTTCCAGGTGGTTATTTTATTGTTTCCAAAAGTTTCACACAATGTATGTTATAGTATTATATATTGTGTTCAGATGCATTCTTAAGAGATTTTTATATGAAGTGAATAAATGAAAGCATGACCCTGCCCGCGGCTCTTTGTGCTGCTGCTTTTTTCCAACAGGTTGGCACGGGCAGTGCCTCAACCGCTGCGCTCGCTCGGCTTGGCTGGGACCCGGCCGGCACCGGGGGCACCGTAAAACCGAACCCACCCGTGCCCAAAACCCAGTGGACACGGGGAGCCCCGGTCT